CCCCAATGTTTTCTTTGGTTACTGACTGCGTGCATCAGTAGTGTTTCGATGCTGGGACTGTTAGTGTCAGCACATCTGACAGCTGCCTTATGAATTTACTTTGCATGTGCGAGCTCTAAGATTTTGATGGAAGTGACACGTTTTTCACTAGTTTTCAAATGGGCGAATAGAGGACATTTTTTTTTACAATTTCGTCTGGTACACGAACGGAGCAGTTATGGTTCAACCTGTCTGCAGACAATGTGCAACCTCGACTAACAACTAACAAATAACAGTAATGCTCTCATTTCTGCGAAATGTAAACAGAACAGGTGTCGTCAGCCGCTACACGCTGTTGGATTTACTGAGGAAGAGATCAGAGCACCTATGGACTGAAAGGTTCGATGTGCAGTGAAGATAATCTGTCGACTAATTATAACTTCTAAGATCACTACCCACCTATATTAGACTGCAGCTTAGTTCGTCAAGGGAGTCGCTGTGGCCGAGCGGCGAGACGCTCGCCGCGGATCAGAAGGTTGTGGGTTCGCTCCCCGGCGGAGCCAGACTGTTTTCAATAATGACCTTGGCTCCCAGGTCGACCCAGCCTTGAATGGGTACCGGGTGCAGTCCCGGGAAAGTGAAGGCGGCCGGCGTGATGCTGACCACATCACCCATCTTGTGCCGATTGGTTTATAAAAATAAAGGTCTAGCCCTATATGCCCTATACGCCTAAAGGCGTGGAAAAGGGTCCTTTACTTTACTCACTTACTTACTTCGTCACCGCCAGGTCGCTAATATAACTGTTGTATGACTCAACAGACAGGATATAATGGAATGGAGGAATAAATGCGAGCCCTTTCTGAGGTATAATGGCACAACAGGATAATGAATGAATGCAATGATTGAGCAGATAAGTAGAAGTTGTCACGTTCGTCCTCTACTACTATGAGGATATATGCAATCGGAATATGAGGAGCGGCTGGTCGAACGGTTAGACCGCGGGGCTCTCAAACGGGAGACACATGTTGTGGAATTTTTTTGCCGGGGGTCGCAATAAAATCCTCACCTGCAGTGTCATAGCGACAGCACTAGCCAGGCGGCTGTAAATCCTCAAGCTCAAAGACCTCCCTACCTACACCGCAAAAGTGGTACAATAAAATCAGAAATTTGCAAATTGTTTCTTTTTTTTCGGGGGGGGGGGGGGGGGGGGGGCGTGTTTGGTAACAACGGGTGATATGAATGATACAGGTATTGAAGTAGATTTGTAAAAAGGGGGGCGGGGGATGACATTGATCGTGTTGAGTGAAGGTGGAAAATCAGCAAAATAGGAATAAAGAAAAATAGCTATTGCAGAAAGGTTAACAGCTAAGCGACTGGAACCCCCCCCCCCCCCCCCCCACTAAATACACGTGAGGGTGACAGCAGTCATGACACCCCTTGCCATAGTTGTGGAAGACACACTCGTCACCGCCGTGGGCTGTGAGTCCTATCTAGTGAAAAACATGTCATTTCCAGCAAAATCTTAGAGCTGGCACATGCAAAGTAAATTCATAAGGCAGCTGTCAGATGTGCTGGCACTAACAATCCTAGCATTAAAACACTACTGAAGAATGCAGTCAATTATCAAAGAAAACATTGTGTTGTTATCCAGTTTCTGGATACATCGTCTGAACGGACGGAAAGGTGCCGACACAATCTGTTGATCAGGGTTTCTGAGAATTGCTCGTGAGTCACTGGATGTTCATCTTTGAGGATACAACCCTTTAAAAGGGTGTTGGGGTGGGGAGGGGTGTTAACAAATTTAGAGAACTCAAACGCTGATCTCACCGTTTCTGGTCCCCATTATAGGAAAAACAAGAAAAAACCCACAGCCTGCCCCCACTCCCCCCCCCCCCCACCCACCCCTAACCCAAAGGCAATCGTAAGAGTCGACTAATTATGAAGCTTCAAACGGTCAGAGTGCATCTGCCCGTGCGGCAAGGGACAACCAACTGCATACAAATAAGCCAGTAAAACAGATGTGTACGCAAAACTCAGACCCTGGTGCAAAGCCGAAGTCAGAATCGACGAAAAAAAAAAGAACTTTCACCGGAACTTAGAGCCATTGAATAACAAAGAAGAAAAGAAAGAAAGAAAGAAAGAAAAGAAAGAAAGGAAAAGAAAGAAAGAAAAGAAAGAAAGAAAGAAAGAAAAGAAAGAAAGAAAGAAAGAAAAGAAAGAAAGAAAGAAAGAAAGAAAGAAAGAAAGAAAGAAAGAGAAAGAAAGAAAGAAAGAAAAAAAGAAAAGAAAGAAAGAAAGAAAAGAAAAGAAAGAAGAAAGAAGAAAGAAAGAAAAGAAAGAAAGAAAGAAAGAAAGAAAAGGAATGAAAGAAGAAAGGAAAGGAAGAAAGGAAGGAAGAAAGAAAGGAAGGAAGGGAGGAGAGGAAAGAAAGGAAGAAGGCAGGCAGGCAGTAAGGAAAGGAAAGAAATGAAGGAAGGAAGGACAAGAGGAGGAAGGAAGGAAGGAAGGAAGGAAGAAGTAAGGAAGGAAGGAAGGAAAGGAACGGAGGAAGAGAGGGTAGGGAAGGAAGGAAGGAAGGAAGGAAGGAAGGAAGGAAGGAAGAAGAGGAAGGAAGGAAGGAAGGAAGGAAGGAAGGAAGGAAGGAAGAAGGAAGGGAAGGAAAAGGGAAGGAAGGAAGGAAGGAAGCGAAGGAAGGAAGGAAGGAAGGAAGGAAGACGAAGGAAGGAAGGAAAGGAAGGAAGGAAGGAAGGAAGGAAGGACAGGAAGAGAGACGGAGGAAGGAAGGAAGGAAGGAAGGAAGGAAGGAAGGAAGGAAGGAAGGAAGGAAGGAAGGAAGGAAGGAAGGAAGGAAGGAAGGAAGGAAGGAAGGAAGGAAGGAAGGAAGGAAGGAAGGAAGGAAGGAAGAAGAAGAAGAAGAAGAAGAAGAAGAAGAAGAAGAAGAAGAAGAAGAAGAAGAAGAAGAAGAAGAAGGCGCAACGCTGTTCACCATCATCATCATGTACCATGCTGTTAAGCGTTAGATCTAGTCGACATAGATGGCTTATATCATCTCGCACGATCACCAGAATCATAGTCAGGTCAGTGATCTTGTCCATCCTAAGCCAGAAGGCTAGTTCAGCTAAGCTGACGCATACCAGAGCTCGCACCATATTTCCACAATACCCAATACTCAGTTTGGACGCTCGCCTGCGGATCGGAAGAATGTAGGTTCAGGTCCTGGCGGAACCAGACGTTTTCCGAAAAAGACCTGGCTCCCAGGTCGACCTAGCTTTGAGGTGGTACAAAGTGCAGTCCTGTGAGGTCAAGGCGGCCGGTGTGATGCTAACTACATCGCCCATCAAGCGCCGATTGGTCTATAAAAAAACAGGGCTAGCCCTACATATCCAACACGCCTGAAGGCGTGAAAAAAGTACCTTTCCTTTTTCTTTTTTTTTCACTCAGTCTAGGCAGCCAGCGTTGATCTCCAGTTCAAAATATAACGATGGCAGTTAATCTCATGACGACCTTGCTTGTCTTCTCTGAGTGTGGTCTGCAGCCATTCGGATTTTTTAACTATGTGCCATCTTCTTGCTGTTTTCCACATCCAGTTAGTCAGTAGTGGCATGTTTTTACTTTTTTTTTTTATTCGTATTCAAGCATAAACAAAGACAAGCAACCACCATCATGTAGCAGGAGCTTTACAGAACGTCGCTCCCATCAAAGCTCGCCTGCGGTTTAAGCTCAGGGGAAGGCTGAATTTATAGAAATTTCCCTTGATGATCTCTAGGTAGTACACCGTGTGTATTCTTGCGCACGTAAAAAAATCCCTTGGCAAGCGAAAAGACTAGCGCCGCCCAGGCACAACTTTGAGTTAAAAATCTACCCAAAGTTTTTCCGGATCCTCGCCGGTGCATCGGATTTAGGCACTGCGCTGAGAACTTCAGACGCTTGAGTTAGAAATAGAACATAGCTCATATGGGTTACACCCATATGCCATGATGTTGTCAAAAAACATAAACGTCAGCATAAAGCTCGCCTGACAAAAACCAAAAGGTCCCTCGCCTGCTCACCCGCCTCATGCACTTTTCTGCTCCAAGTGTCTCTAATGTCCTGTGTCCATCTTCGTGCTGGTTGGCTCCTAGCCCCTTGCTTTCCGCCATCTCTCTTTTTAGGCCATTTGATATGGCTACGGTATTTCAATTTCACTGACAGGATGCTGTTTACGAGCCATTTGTCCTCATGGTTAGATATTTTAGGATGTCTATATTTATATTAGATCATCATTACCCGAATGTGACATTTCGGGAAAAAGCCCGACATTTGGGGAGTCTCGGTAGCGCAGTAGTTAGATGCTTACTGTGGGTCTGAAGGTCTTAGGTTTTTTTCAATGACCTAATGTTCCCAGAGAGGCCCAGCTTGAAATGAGTTTCAAGATATGCCCTGGGAAGCTAAAACGGCTGGCTCGAGTACATCAATATGCGAGTACCGATATGTCCTTAAAGGTCTGCGTCTGGCGCAATATTCCCGATAAGCCAGTGGCGCCAGAAATGTCCTTTACTACTCAGGTTTTTTCCTGGTACCCATTTAGGCTGGTTCGACCTGGCAGCCATGGACTGAGTGCGGATTCTAACATAACATCTTCGAGTCTTCAGGCAAGTTAGACCACCAGGGCTACCTTTATGGTACGGGAACCTTGTCGGTTTTTTTTTTTTTTTTTTAAATACAAAACAAAGTCATGTTTACAAACGACAGACAGTTGTGGACAGACATGACTACCGACGCCACGCAACATAAATCATAATAAAAAGCGGAGTTTTTAAAATATTTTGTCGATGTATATTTTTCTGTTGTCAGTTTCCACAGCCATCGTATAATGTGGCCTAACGGTAGACAAGTAAGGATGTGAGTGTTCGTGTATTTAGCTGAATTGACTACGGGCAGAAGTTTCCGTTGACGATGTCCGTCAGCTGAGGTATGCCAGACACCGTGGAACATCCGGATCCAGTCATATCGCTGACGAAATTGTTGCATGTTGGTGTACCGGCACAGTGTACGCCTGCACATCTGAAATGTATAAGTAAAGTGGGTTATGAGTTAGGTGTACAATTGTGGCGAAAGTTTCAGTTCCTCAATTAGAGTGGACTCAAACATTTTTTAGGTGATACCGCCCTTGAGTATATGGCAAGACCCCCCCCCCCCCCCCCAAGGTCCCCTCCTCCTTGAGTAAATGGCAAGATGGAAACAGCCGGGTAACGTACAGACAGGCAAACAGCCAGAGAAGCTGACACTGGTTCACTGTTTTCTGTTTCGTGACTGCCACCACCTCCCTTTGTGATCATTACAAGCAACCTTCTGCTGAAGACAAAAAAGTATTGCTTACACAGGACAGAAGGCTGTGAACAGGACATGATTACCAGGCCACATAGCATAGATTCTAATAAACTGTAAAGTCTTCTTCTTCTTTTTCTTCTTCTTCTTCTTCTTCGTCTTCTTCTTCTTCTTCTTCTTATTCTTCTCTTCTTCTTCTTCTTCTCTTCTTCTTCTTCTTCTTCTTCTTCTTCTTCTTCTTCTTCTTCTTCTTCGAGTTCACCAGCTGTAAACACTAACGAAAAGTTCTGGTTGTTTATCCACTTTTGGACTGCAGACCTGATCCAAAACCCGAGTGTCTACATGTGTATCCGTTTTACAGATCTGACTCATTTGTATTCAGACTGCTGGTTTTTTGCCTCTCAGACAGATGCAATCCGACTATGAAAGAAGCTCCCAGTTAGTAGACTCTTACGACATGCTTTTGGGTAGGCAATGGGTCTATTCTTGTTTTCCCTATAACATGGCCTCGGAACCCACACGGGGCTCTATTATAGGGAAAACAAGTGGTTATATATGTCAAGTATTTGTATACGTTTGTATGTGTATGTCTTTCTGTTGTGAGTTTCCATAACAATCGTTTGTAGTCGTCTTGCCAAGTGTGCCTGTGTGTGTTCTTGTAGCCAACTAAAGTGACTAAGCGAAGAAGTTAGGGTGGTTTTGTCACCTCCAAGATTGTTGTCCCCTGGAGAAAACCTCAATGATGAATGTCCTTTATGAGCAAATCCTGGAAAGACCCGTTCAACCCCGCTCTCTTTACAACACGCCTGAAAGTATCCCTTTCCCTAGCCAGCTCTCCGGCCCCATGCCAACGTATCTTTAATGTTTTATATACATATTCGCGGTGGTCCATCATCGTCTTTTCCAAGCCACCATGACGCTTGATGTGGCCAAAATACTTTCGGGACAGGATGCTGGTTTATGAGCCAGGCTCTCCTTGATGTTCAACTCGCTCAGAATGTCGATGTTATTCCTCTTTCGTAATGTTGAGGGGTTACAATGTAACCTGCGGTCAGGGTGGGGTAGAGAATACTTCTGACATGCAGAAGTTTCCATTGACAATGTCCGTCAACTGAGGTATGCCGGGTACCGCGGAACATCAGCAGCCAACGGCCTTGGTAATAAAAGTGTTGCATGTTGGTGTACTCGCGCAGGGCACCCCTGAACATCCGAAAGGTCGAAAGTAAGCGGGCTAAGCGTTAATAGTTTAGTTAGTTATTCGAGTATTGAGCTAAGAACTGTCATTTTCCAACACGCTCCATTCTCGTCTTCAGCAGCCAGGGAAGAGTGCCAGTTCTTATGTCAGTGGCAATTTGATTATGTGTCAGTCTTGTTGTTGTTGTTTCTTTCTCTAAGTGTAGAACGTTGACCAGATCCTCTGGTCATTCCCAGCTGTATCATTCTCTGCAGACCATAATGCTCGATTCGTACCTATGCATACCTCACTTGCTCCCAACGGGCCTGGCTCACATCTTGCTTGGCAGGTATACATTCAATACCTATACTGGTGCTGAACCAGCCTGTTTGTCCTGGAGATAATACCTGAAGAACGGGATCTATGAAGCAATGCTTGCCACTCTGCAAATAGCATGCCTATCTTCTCTCTCCACCTTTCATAACATGCTTTGAGAGTCCGTTACAATCACGACATGTGTTCTCGAGCCAGTGAAAAGTTGCTGTGACATCCTCCATCGTCATTCTCACACCTGATGTTGTAATATCATACTCCACACTTTGTTGCAACAAGCGTCGTCCATTCACTTTCGCAATGAATTCCCCCCCCCCCTTTTTACGCAACTCCTCTGCCTCTCATCAAAAAGCCATCTATATATGCTATCACATCACCTGGGTGGGAATTATCGTGAATCATTTCTTGAATTTCTGATTGTACAATGACTGCTCGCCAATCCCTGCACTTCAGCCAATGTGATTAGAACCCTACACAAGTCTGCTTTTTGCTCCAACACCTTGACCTATTCCCCTCTTCTCCCGATTCTTTCCAGCATACAAACATCTCTAATTGTACCATTTGCAGGTGCCATTCGAGATGTCCCCCCAATCAACACATGACCATTAGCGGTATCCCTGACTTCATGCAAGGCGTGGTCTGTGTCAGTGGGTAGCCACTGGTAGCATCTTGAGTCTGTCTGCACTAGCTGGCAGTGTAAGTGTGTATTGCATAAAGACTACTGGGGTGTATCATTTTGTATGTGTTCAGGCTTCACTGGTGGACTCGTTGATACGGTAAACAGTCCTAGGTCATAATCAATGACAGAAATAATCAAGTACTGGTACATTGTGAACAGTAAATATTTGCTCCAGGTCAATTGCTGCCTTAATTTTCAGTGCATTGGCTTTTTTTGACATTTGACTAAAGCTGCCCCCACGTGGAACTTGAATGATCGCTAAATGATGGCTCCCAGAAACTCGTTTGCCCTCAGTTTTGACGTTTTTATTATTTAATTAATCGCAAATCGGGCAAGTCCATAATCGCCCAGATCCAATCTTCATTATATCGCTAAGCTTGGAGCGATAGGTGTCATCAATTCTGTGTACACTTGCACTAGCACACAGATGGGCACAAGTTTAAAACCCACTAGCATACAGCTATATTCTCACTATTATGGCATCAATAGAGTTTTGAGAGCAGAAGTATGTCTGCAATGATTGCTTCCAGTGAGCTCTAAAATACCAGTAGATGTCATACCCCGTATTAGTATTGAAAAATGAATTATTTACTAGGTTGTCTTAAACTTTTTACCGTCATTGTCGTGGAAGAAAAGGCAGGCTGGGGTATAGAGTCAGAGGATCAGATCAAACAAACGTTTTTGAAAGAGTCCATTGAGGAATACTGAAAAGACTGCACAAATTGGAACCAGTATTTAATAAGAACATAGCAAGGTATTGATTGGCTCACACAGATAGAAGTAACGAAATATAAGGCCACAATAGATTAAATAAAAGTTAAAGGCTATTGTTACCATACCTAGAAGAGAACCTGTTACTTTCACTGTGTATTTCGACACATGACCAGCAACACACCCCTGGTTCGTTGTTCATTTCACTGAACTGAAGAGAGGCATAGACTCTAAGCGCTACTTGTCATATTTTGTCACAATATGATAATGATGACGATGAAGACGATGAGGATGAAATAATGATGATGATAATACTAATGGTGATGATTGGGGTGTCGGTGATGTTGATGATGATGATGATGACGATGGTGATGATGAGGACGATAATTCTAGTGGTGATGATTGTGGTAATGGTGATGGTTATGACGATGGTGATTAAAATGCTGACAACGATGATGATGGTGGTGGTGACGATGCTGATGATGAGGATGATAAAATACTTCTCGTAGAGTTCCATGACGGGCTCCGTGTAGTTGCCGGGATCTATGCAGCGGACAAATTTGGGCTTCTCCCACATCCAGAAGCATCCCTTGGCGGTTTTGTCGAGGTTTGGCTGCGAGCAAGCAGCCAGGATGTTTCCTATGGAGGTACACTGAGGAGATGCTCCAGGGCTGGTCAAAAAGAGAGTATGGACATCCTCAACAATATTGCCATTACAGATGGAGGGGATGATGATGATGATAATGATGAAGATGATGATGATGATGATGGTGGTGATGATGATGATGATGTGATGATGATGATATGATGATGATGAGCCCTACATTACATCTTAGGAATGTACATTTATGACGGACTGTTCCTAAGCGGCTGGCCGAAAGGTTGAGAACATAGGGCTCTCGTGCAGGAGTCCCGGGTTCTAATCCTCAGTAAGGTCGTGATGATTAGTGTTTTTTTTTTCTGTCAGTGGCCCAAAAAAAAAACTGCAGAGTTCGTGGCGACAGTACTTGCCAAACGACCTTAGATCCATACTCATCCCCCCACCCCCTCACCCCCTGCCTATCCCACAGAGAGGGTAAATATTTTCTTCTTCTTTTTCTCTTTCACTTTGTGCCTCAGTGAAGTGTCGGGGAGAGATGTAACGTTTGTTGATGAGCTCTATCAAGAGCACTATTAAGATTTATGTTCATTTCTGTAAGGCTGTTCTTAATGCCATCACTCCATATTTGCAAGTGTCTTCTGCTCGCTCTATATCCGTTGTAACGTTTCAGTGGCAGATGGTAGCAGGGCTTTCTTGTTAGGTGTCCAGACCACTTCATGTGTTGTTCTTTGATGACGTGTAATAATGGCTTTATTCATAGCATTCGTCCGAGTTCCCGATTTCGTATTTTATCTTCCCTTTAAACTCCTGCAGCTCATCCAAGGCATTTCATCTCTGTTGTCACAATTTTACGCTGACTTGAGGATGCAAGTGTCCACGTTTAGCACTGATAGCATAGTTTTGGCCAAAACATAGTTCTGATAAGATTCCCTCTAGTACTCTGGGGTATCTGCTTGTGTGTCAACTAGTGAGATAGTTGTCTCATTATTTGATCAGCTTTGATACATCTGGAGAGGAGGAAATACAGAGAGTAAATGGTAGTTATTTTGACAGCTCGGAAAACTAGCTGCACAGCCCGTGGTACATGGGGACTATCAGTTGACCATACTATGTTATTGTGATGTTAATAATAATGCTTCCAGTTGTTTGTGACGACGACTAAGATGACGGATGATGATGATGATGATGAGATGATGGGGGTGTTTAGGATTACAGCGATAATGATAATGATAATGAAATATTTGTTTAAAGTACGTGAACAAGCATGCGATACTTACTGGTTCTGGACCACTCCAGAAGTGAAGGCTCTAATGAGTAAAGCCTCAGTGATGGAGAATGGAGTCTGGGCCAGCTCGGCGTACGTCTGTCCTCCAAACCTTTTGGGTGCAGTGGCGATAACTCTGTCGTGTTCATGGAAGTACGGCTCTGAAGATGCAGAACAATACACGGAATACGAATACCATGGGATTAAAAGTGGGGGGGGGGGGGGGGGGGGGTCGCTCAAGATGCATAAGCCTTGCGTGGGTGCATTAAAAAAATAATAATAACATAATAATGTAAAAGTTTGTTGCGTATCCTTTACAGGACGTTGCAGAACCAACCCCAGCACTTTTATGCTGTTGTGGGTTTTTTTCTGGGCACATTTACGCCAAGTAGTTTGCCATTGCTTCTGGGCGGTCGGTTTTCTTGATACCACTGTCGAAACCAACGCAAGGAGCAGGGCCCGCAGCTGGTATTGAACCCGGCATCATGGCATTACGAAATGCGTTCACAACGACTCAGCCACAGACGCCAACAATAAAAATGCATGGTAAGTAAATATTATGAAAAAGGAATGGAAAGGTAAAAAAAATGTTAAGTCGGGAGATGTGAACTAGCGTCATTGCAAACAGTTATAAACCATAAGTGCTCTGCCACCAGTACGGACAGCTGATAAGAATTGTCCGCCTATTTCGCCGTCCGCACGTAACTCTGTAGCTACAGCGACGTTCCTTCATTTACCCTAGAGTGTCAACTCTGGTACCCATTTCCTAGAAGTTGGGTAAACCCCGGAAGCCGCCGGGTTTCGAACACTGACCGTGGGCTGCAGCGAGTCGCAGCTGGATTTGAAAGCGAGCCTTTTATCGACTGCGCTAACGCGGCTCCGTGTAAGGAATAAGTAATAATGTGTGTTTATGTGTGTGTCGGTGGATGAGGAGGTGACTGGGGGGGGGGGAGGAGGGGGCACCAACTCAACATCATATGAATTTATTGAAGTGAAAAGAAAATCTTTACATGGCAGCTTAACTCCCCTGCGGGGAGTTGACGGGGGAAGGGGGAAAGGGGAGCAAGGCACGTAAGATTGTTGGTTTCAACGCCTCTGTTCGGTTGCTTCCTAAACTTTATTTTGAGTGGCTCGAAAACCTGAGAATGTGCCTTAGAATGAAACCGGTTTTTAAAGGATGTCTGTGGAGCGGATGGTTAGGTGGTTAAAGCGATTGGGGATCTCCTATGTGAGACCGGGTTCGAATCCTCAGTAAGGTGATGGGACTGTTTCTGTCGTGTATAAAATTAAATAACGTAACCTGCACAGCCCATGGCTCTAACAGGTGGGAGCTATACAGTTTAGAAAAGATCAGGCCTAAAACACAGGAAGCATAGTCAGGAATTTGGACATGCAAAAAAAAAAGACCCTTCAAAAGTACCACATGACCAAACGAGAGGCCCCAGACATGTTTAAAAATGACAAAAGCACACACAGTTAGGGACAGTAAGTCAAAATGACAGCCACAACAAACCGTATGGTTAAGCAGTTGAACTCGGCACAAATACAACGAAGATAACAATTATAGATGACGCTATTTTCAGTAGGGTTGAGAGTGGCGTATTCCTCCCCCCTCCCCCTTTTCCATCTCCTCTTTTTGAAAACAACAACAACAATATTACCGACAACTATAAGAGGCGTTTTAAAACGAATGATCTACATTATTGCTTCTCTCCGTTTTTTCTCCCAGATGGCTCAGTCTCTTTCCGGAGAGAGTCAAGTTACGACTCGCTGTCATGGATAATCACTATATCTTGAAATCACCAACAAACATGTCTTGTTTTCTCCTGAGTTCACCGTTAAAAGGGCTATAGGCGTTTTGTGTTGTGGTTTACCGCTTGACTGCTATATCTACGCCTTTAGGAACAACACATCGAATTAAGCTACATCTTAATTAGTCGACTTTATAACGTCCTATTAATTTGGGACAGTGGGTCCATTCTCCCCACCTGAGGCACAGACACAAAGAAAACATGGGGGGGGGGGGCAGTCAGGTCCCTTGAGACCCCCATGATAACTTTACGTAAGGTGTTAAGAGGCCCCTTGAGTTCCCAACATGACTTTACGTAAGATGTTAAGAGGCCCCTTTGCAACCATTAGCAGTAACTCTCTTTTAAAGTAGTTATTTATTATTTCAAATTTTTTGGGATCAGGTAAGTTATTATAATTATTTGCCATTTAACGCATCCGTATTATCTTTGTCACTGTTGTTGCCCTTATTATTATTATTATTATTATTATTATTATTATTAATTATTATTATTATTATTATTTTAAATGGCGATTAACATAACTATCTTCTGCAAACATCATCAAGAGCCTTGTCGACTGGCGTGTGCGATTATGCTTTTCCACAATCTGCGATCCGCAGCTGCTGCATCAAGTGCTGACACCCCTCCATACCAAGAGAAAAGGCTGTCTTTCTTTGTCTCTTTTTTTCCACAGATCTTTCCAGTGGTCACAGGTTCCAATTTCCTTCTTCTTATAATGGGACCAAGAACCGAAGACTGTCTCTTTCTGGTGTTTTTGATACGAGTATAACGATTTATGAGAGTCGCCGTTGCGGAGCGTCTAGACGCTCGCCGCGGATCGGAAAGTCATTGGTTCGCTCCCCGGAGGAGCCGGACTTTTTTCAAAAATGACCTTGGCTCCCAGGTCGACCCAGCCTTGAGTGGGTACCAGGTGCAGTCCCGGGAAAGTAAAGGAGGCCGTCGTGATGCTGACCACATTACCAATCTTGTGCCAATTGGTCTTTAAAAATATAGGTCTAGCCCTATATGCCCTATATGCCCTATATGCCCTATACGCCTAAAGGCGTGGAAAAGGGTCCTTTACTTACTTTACTTATAACGATTTATTTTAAATTGTACTAAAAATATAAAAATAATTATTAATGCAGTAACACCTCGTTAATACGAATTCAAAACGACCGAAACAAATCAGGACATGGTTTTTAACAATGCGCTTGCTAACTGAAGACTCATCATGATCGTACAGAACGTCGCTCTCATCATAGTCTGCTTGTAAGAAACTCGATCTCGCACCAGCTCTTCTGTCTCGAGTACTTTCGTATTCAAGGAGTCATTTATATCATGTGACCATTCTGGTGTTGGTCGGCCCATGCTCCTCCTTCCTGGTACCACGCCTTCTGCTACTATTTTTTTCAATCCGCCATGGCGCTTGAGATGACCAAAATATTTCCGCTTCCGAGACAAGATGGTGTATATTAGGCAATCTTCCTTGATGATCAGATCTTTTTAAATGTCAGTATTTCTTTCCTTTTTTTTTGTCCATGGTATTCTGTCAATCTTTCTATAGCGTTTCAGCTGAATGGTCCCTATCAGGCGGAGACTAAAGAGGTGTTTTATGAATAATATATCACTGCTGGGATCCAAAGGCTCTTCGTGTGAGCTGAGTGTTCGTCTTAAACGAAGTTTTACTGTAGTACCTGGGGAGGGGAACTTGGACATGTGAGATTAGAAGTTTTACTGTAGTACCTGGGGAGGTGAACTTAGACATGTGAGATTAGAAGTTACAAAAGCTGTGAATTAAAGCAAAAGAGATCGTGTGAGAAATACAGGAATTAGAAATATTATTTCAACAATAATCATCGACGTATGTGGCTTAGGCGTTGCGAACTGGCTTCATATTTCAGGAGTGCCGGGTTCGATCAAAGCTGCCGACGAGTTGCGACAACGGTGACGAGAAGCGACGGTTTAGGGAGCAGTGGCAAACTACCAAACGTAAAATCTGACTAGAAAAACTAAAACAGCCACAAAATTATGGGATTGGTTCAGCAGCGTCCTCTGTATGGTACACAACCAACCCATCGCTGAATTCACTGAGAAACAAAATGGAAATGGTTCGGCCACCAAGTGGAAATGAATTTAAAGATGCCGGCAGCGAGAGCATATATCACGAAATTTGAAACACTGAAAACGAACGAACAAACTTCATTTTTCAAGGTTTAAGAATTGAGCACGCAGACCCGTCTACCATTCTGCCCTTTTATTTTCCCTTCATTTCATTCATACAAGTAGTACTAAATAAACAACAGCATCAAAATATTCAATACAAGCACTGCAATGTGCGAATTTCTAACTACAGTAAACCGTAGTAGTTCTAATAAATATGGTAAAAATTAAGCTATTTATATATATATATATATAATATATATATATATATATATATATATATATAGTATATATATATTATATATATACATATATATATTTTTTTTTTTTTTTATGTATCTAGTATGTGGGCATGTAATCTGTGCTCAGATAATATTCGAACAGTTTCCGATTTCCTGAACGATACCTAACAATAGGGACAAGTGGTATTTTGACTTTTGGAAGACAGTTGCACGGTTGAGCTGCAGAGTACGCCATATTTGTTTTGTATAGATCTATCCTAGGTTTAGGGATATGTAATATGTTTAGGCGTTTGCTAGACGAAGTCAGTGACAGCTTAGGACTTGACAACACCACAGCACACCAAACAACCGAGCGTGTTCTGGCATTCTTCCTATCATCTCTTAAACAGCAATGTCTACCAACACAAAGTGGATACTGATGTCACGGCGTCTAGATTCTGTTCGGATCGGTCTGTTTTCTTGTTGTTTTTTTCACAATTATTAAATGGGTAGATGTCTGTGTGGGTTACATGGGTTCTCGGTCTCCATTTTGAGGTCAATAAGAATAAGACAAAATGGAGGATGGGCAAGGCAGAATGTTAAGCCTTAAGTTATTACTGCTTGCAACAGCGCTTTCCCCATCTGAACGGTAGTCTACGGCTTCGCTGCCTGAGCTACTGATTTCAGTGCTTGGTGCAGCCCTGTGAGCTGTATTTTCTGTGTGAAGTTCATTTGTACAGCGGTTGAGTCGGGGTATTCAATATGGCCTTAGCCGGTTTACTTGTGAGCTGGTGATATACCTCATGTAATAATTCTAGTTTTATATAGCCAACTTATCGTGCCTGACTACTTCCATCAACGGCAAATTGCATTTCTGGTAGCAACTGTTGGCTTTGGCGCCTCTAGCGACTGCCACATGCATTTACTGCTGTCGCTTATTTCTGGATTGTTCCGGGACTTATTGTTTGTTTACCAGTTTTTCAAATGGAACAGTGAGGGACATTTCATTTTATATTCATTGGCACAGGAATAAAGCAAGTATGGGGTGACCTGCTGCAGTGAAGTTGAAACCTAGACTAAGACTAAGAATAGACTCACTGCGCCCTTAATAAGCATGTCGTAGGAGGCCGAATGTGTAAAACGAGTGTGCATGCAAAATTCAGGTTCCGGACAAAACCAAAGTCTAGAAGTGAGCTAAGTTAACCAAATACCCTTTCAAGGACGAACACCGGGGGAGAAGGATAAAATACCTCACATCCGGAGAGAAGGAAAAAATACGTAACACAGAGAAAAAATAGGTAGCACCGGGTGAGACGGGAAAATACTTACCTCATTCGGGGGGAAAAGACAAAATACTTACGTAACACTGGGGGAGAAGGAAAAATAGTTAAGTAACACCAGGGAGATGGAAAAATACGTAATACCGTAGGGGCGTGAAAGAAATTGCTTATTATCACTGGTGGAGAAGGAAATAAAATACTTACGTAACACCGGAGGAGAGGGAAAAAATACTTGTATAACACCGGGGAAGAAGGAAAAAAATACATAACACCGGGGGGAAAAGGTAAAATTACTTATTTATGTAACACAGAGGGGAGAATGTAGAAATACTTATGTGACACTCCGAGAAAATAAAAATACTTATATAACACCGGGAAGAAGAAAAAAATACTTATATAACACAGGGGAGAAGGAAAAAATACTTATATAACACCGGGAAGAAGAAAAAAAATACTTATATAACACAGGGGAGAAGGAAAAATACTTATATAACACCGGGAAGATAAAAAAATACTTATATAACACCGGGAAGAAGAAAAAAATACTTACGGAGCGCACAGTTAAAGGTAAACGAAAGGCCTGGAGTCTGTTGTTGCTGCAGCCTCGATTCCACATCGTAGGCAACAAATGTAATTCTGGATCCACACTCGGGTATCTACAAATGAAGATAACCAATAAATGAAGATAACCAATTAATGAAGATAACCAATTAATGAAGATAACCAAATAATGAAGATAATCAATTAATGAATGTTCCTAACTTTTCAACGACAACAAAACAGTAAAGGACTCCAACGGGCGTATTGGTCACATAGGGTTAGACTAGGCGGCGCTCGGTGGGAGATGAGGTCAGCATAACGCCGGCTGCCTTTACTTCTCAGGACTGCACGTGGTACACACTCCAGGCTGGGTCGACCTGGAAGACAGTCGTTAAAAAAAAAATGCCTCATCAGGACCTGAACACACTACCTTCCGACCCGCAGGCGAGCGTCTAGCCGCTGGACCACTGGGACTTCCCTGTTCTATAAGAGTAAAAATTAAACGGCTTTTTGATAAACCAGTAGCCCATAGAGCATACTAGAGCATACGATGCTGGACTTATATACATTAAAGTGAGCCTTCTGCACTAGGCTGGGTATGTGGACAACATCAGGGCAGCCGTCTTTACTTCCAAGAACATTACAGTCAGTAGCGTATCCTATACAGGACGAAGCAGAACCAACCCCTGCATATTTCGGCATACTATGGGCAAATTTTACGTTCAGTAGTTTGCCATTGCTTCGTGAACAGTCAGCTCTTGTTATTACTGTCGAAGCCAGCGCAAGACAAATCGTCCGCAGCTGGGATCGAAACCGGCAACGAGAATTACGAAGCGCGTTCACAACGCCTAAGCCAGAGACGCCGACTACATAAGACGGTACAAATTAAAATTTTTTTAACAAATTGTTTGTCTAGTCGTCTTATTCCTCCCCCCCCCCCCCCCCCCCCCACTCTCTGAGCTGATGCAAAAGGCTTACTCACTCTGCAGCTTACAGAGTGGAAGTCTGAACGGCAAAGCAACAGGACAGTTACCAGAAATCCTGTTCAATCTGATCTTGATGTTAAGTATTTCTCCTCTTCTTTGTCCTTTGAGAACTAGCAACGAAATCAGTAGAGAAACAAGATTATTATGGCCTGGAGAGAATGAGGCACCTGGGTGTAACCGACTCAGAACACTCAGAGAAAAGGTAAGACGGACATACAACCAGATTGTGACCGCTACGGTCAGTATTGGAACTCTGCGCTGACTGCTGAAGATGAGGACTGAGCACACATGGGAATGCCCTGAGTGCCGTGATGTAATTTTTTGACTCTGCTAAACTCTCCTCTTTGTCCATGCACATTGGCGCATCTTTCATTCTTTCCAGGCAACATTGTTTCTTTGGACTATAAGGAACATGGTCCATGGCGTGAGTGACTAGCTAGACCCATTGGTGTTAACAAGAATCTTTCACAAT